AGTGACGACGAAGATGACACAGTTACAACTACAGCAAGCGCTGCATCTACAACTGCCGCTGCAACCGCATCTGCTCCGATTTTGCTTGATGACGATATCGATATCTTGACTGTGAGCAGCGATGCGTGGGATACTCCTTCAACGTCAGCGGCTGCGTCTGCCACGACTAGCACAGCCAGCGACGGCAATTGTGGAGAGTATTTCCCGTTCCCGTTGGACGAGAACCTCTTCCCTTCAAATGGCTCGGCAATTAACACAGGTAATTCGTCCTCGTGGATGTATTCGGTACCCTCCAGCACAATCGTTAACAGTATGCCTCCTCCGACTTCTACGATTGCAGCTGCATCAGCGCCGATTACTGTGTCGCCTCCACAGGACATGCTGAACCAGGCAGAGTCCAATTTGGCTAGCTCGATGGCTTCTTTGTCTCGAAATCACAACGTGAACAACCCGTTCGACCAGCGACAACGGCGTCAAGCACGGCCTCCTCCAAAGCCCACCACAATGCCAAGCGAAATGGACATCATCTGCTTACTGGACAGCGACAGCGACTGATGAACGAACGTACGGATACGGAGATTATTAGGAATAGGAAGCTTCTTATCACTAGTATATGTCTTTCTTTGGCGGAACTGCTTCAGGATAGTGAAAAGCCAAAAGCAAGCCGTTGAAGTGGAGTGTAGCCATGGTGCACCACGTCACAGACAGTACCGTAATTTATCCATTTATTTCCGATTTATTGGGAGGGCACCTCACCATTTACTCGATCATCGCCGGTAGCAGCGAAGCCCCCGGATCATGTCATCTACAGTGCTGGAGCAGCTGCGCGCAGAGCAGGAGGAGATCGAGGCGTTGGAGCGCGCTATTGTGGCCACGCTGGGCGAGAAACCGCGCAATGTAAGTATCTCTAGTTGCTATAATTTAAACGTATTTGGTCGTACTTCTGACAATAATGTAATCCTGTTGATCGATTTATTGACGCTGGATTAGCATCGCAGCCGCGTTTTGCACGGCCACAAGGTGAGCAACTTGCTGGACGAGGTAACGAAGCACAGCAAGCACGTCAAGGAGCTCTATGATGACGAAGATGGGTGCGTTATGGCTGCCAGAATGGAGTATTAAGCGTTGCTGAATCTAATGCTGTTGCGTTGCTATTCTGTGCAGTATTTTCGCCGAGGAGACGGAGAGTATGCGTGGACGAGCGGTGTTTACATCGTTCTACGAGCAGCTCAAGTCCATCCGTTCGTTCCATCGCAAATACCCGAACTCGGTCGTCTCCCACGAGCCTAATTTGGAGGAAGCGCTGCATCCGAACGTCCAGTTCTCCGGTGAAGAGCGCTTCGGTAAATATGTAGATCTGAACGAGTTCTACACGCGCTTCCTGAACATCCCGGAGCTGAAGTGGTGAGTGAGCGGCATTAATCCTATTGCTGTCGAAGTTTAATGCTGATTACTCTGTTTGTGTAGGCAAGCCCGTAAAATTCAGGAAGCACTGAGCTCCAACGTTAAGACTAGAGGACGGAAACAGCCTACGGGTTCCTCTATCGACTACCTGGCGTATCTGGCGTCGTTCTCGGATTTCTCGGCCATTCCAGCAGCACAGAAGACCCAGTCGACGCTGTACCACCAGTATTTGAAGGATTTGAAGGAGTATTTATTGGATTTCTATCGCCGTACACAGCCTCTTGTGGACCTCGACGACGTGATCGATGAAACCTCTGCCAAGTTCGAGAAGCAGTGGGAGCTACGTGAAGTTGCTGGATGGGGCTTGAGCCAGGACGACACTACAGACGACAACAAGACTCCTGCGTATTTCTGCAAGCTTTGCAACAAACAATTCAGCTCGGAAGGTGTATACAACAGCCATTTGACTGGAAAGAAGCACAAGAAGGCTGCTGCGAAGGCATCCAACGGTTCTGACAGTAATGGCGCGGCTGCTAACAACGCTGAAGCTACCAAAGACACCAAGAAGGAGCTTGAGGAGAACCAAAAGGCCATTGCGTTTGATGAAGTGCTGATTCGTCGAATGTATGAGCTTCTTACTGAAGTCGTACAGGGAACAATTTCGTACTTGGAACTCAAGCAGACACGCACACACGAGGAGCTCCAGGCCGAAATTGAAGAAGAAGAGGAAGGCACATTCTCCGATGTGGACGTGGAGAACGAGGACGAGGCTGAAGATGAAGAAGAGCAGCTATATAACCCGCTGAACCTGCCTCTAGGTTGGGATGGGAAGCCCATTCCGTACTGGCTGTACAAGTTGCACGGTCTTGGAGTGGAGTACAAGTGCGAGATCTGCGGCAACCACAGCTACTGGGGACGACGTGCATTCGATCGACACTTCCAGGAATGGCGTCATGCCTTTGGTATGCGCTGTCTGAAGATCCCCAACACGAAGCATTTCCACGATATCACGCTCATGAGAGACGCTATCCAGCGTAAGTCCTGCTTTATCGTTGATATTGTGTCTTTGACTGAGCTGACGGTGTTGTTTGTTTGAATAGTTTACGAGAAGTTGAA